ATTCTCGTTTTTTGCTGGTGTTTTCTTCATATTCCTGGCGCCATAAAAATACAAAGATGAAAATGCACGTGCACTTGCACTTTACACATACACACACAGAATACATACATTTTTAAGTTCGAATTGAAACAAAATGCATACATTTCTGAATTCGAATGAAACTGTATGGATCATGCTTCTTCAGAAGTTACATCTTCTCGAAAAAGGCTGTCTTTATCCCCGTGCATCCAGTTTTCCCTGCTTTTGCTCACTTCATGGATCTTATTCATTCTCAGCTTTACCAAAGCATCAGTTTCATAAATAGGGAAGGCTAAAAGACGGGGTATTGTGGAGCATCTTTACCTAAGCATCAGTTTTATAAATACGGAAGTTCCCTAGTAATGACGGGCTTTTATGGAACAGTTTCCACTATCAAAACCTCAGTTTCTTTTGCTTTTGTTCACAAAATCAGATTTGCTTTAATTTACTTTTATTTGTGGCGCTGTGTTCCATGTTTCTTTTTACTGTTATCTCCAGTTCTTGGCTCGAGTTTTTGACTTACATCTTCGCTCCCCTTCTCTATCCTGTCCCAAATCCTGCTAGCAGAGAAGATGTAGACCTCTCTCCATCCCTACTACAACAGCTCTGCGCGAGCAAGCAGTATTTCACCTTTCCCTCCCTCGAGTATCTACGGTAAAAACCAGGAACACACTTCCTCATCCCTTTCACTCACCACCGCTCCCTTCGCCCCTCCAAATGTGCGTTACTTAGCCAAACAATCTGTGCCATTTAGTCCTTACATCCATCTATTCCAGCTCCCTTCTCTGCCTCGAACAAACCCGCACATACCACCCCCAGTTCCAGCCGCTATATTGAAACTGCCGCGATCTGCTGTGGGGCAGCCCTACCAGCCGTCGGAGGAAAAATATTTTGCGGGTCCTGCATGACACCGGCCGAGCCGAGTTTTTGTAACTGCCGAAAGAAAGTATATTGTCGAGGGGTTGTCTGTGTGCCTGTGTGTGTCTGCATGTCCTTTTGTATGTGCCTGTTTTTGTTTGTGTTTGTACCGAGCTTTTATCTCGAAACCTATAAAAGCTACTAGACTGGAACTTTGACAACTTAATTTACGCTTTTATATAGGCCCCTATCCTTAAAATCATTGCTCGCGTCTACGTGGTTTTCGTGCGCAGGTGCGTGAAGAATTTTTTTGGCGAGAGTACTATTTGGGGATCTGCCGGAAGAAACAGTATCGTTAGCGACAAAGACCTGCACATCTTAGCACCAGGAACCAATGCGTTAGCCAGTTACTTCTATGTTGTTGACGCAAATAGATATAGCTGTTTTTAAACTTAGTAAGCTAATTCTCGGATTGAACGTTGCACAGTGTGCAAAAGTTTTCAATGGCTGGAAAAAAAACGCGACGATCAAGCAACAGTTGATCAAATCGTTGCGCAGCAAAAATATTAAAATTCGTCCTAAGGAAAAATTTTGATTTGTTTGCCACATGCTTATGAATTCTCGAGAATCGTAGCAATGCGTATAAATTACTGGAAAAGTCGGAGAAAAATATTCAGTTTAAGTTACGATTGGGAGTGCAGGTCGAATGGAGCGCGCAATTAGCAGTAATTGTTACTGGACAGCTTCGACGCCAGATGCTTTCAATTCCTTTTTATGTGTTTTTTGCAGATATGCAGTGCGGAAAACGTATACTGACGAAAGGTTGTTTGTGTGTGTGTCTGTGTCTGCGCAAGGCCTGTGTACCGATTTTTCATCTCGAGACCGAAGAAAGCTACAGGACTGAAATTTTGGGGGCTTAATCTACATGCACGTACGGGCCCTTATCCCTTTAGTGGGTGGTATTACCCGCGTGGTACCCAAGCAAGAACCCGCCAAAGTTTTTTACCGGTAAGCTGCTAACTCGAGACGAGATAACAATTTTCTCGCCGAAACTTTCACATGCCTGTACGTGGGTATTCCACTTGCCTAGGAAACTGATTTTGAAATTTTTAAATTGCGCATGGGCAGGGAACATCCCCCTAAAATTTCAGCCTTCCAGCTTTCCTGGTTGATGAGTTAACAGTTCTGCCGCCAAATCTTTCATGTGCTCATACTTAAGAAACGCGCATATCTGAGGGTTGGATTTGAAGAATTTAGTTTGTATCTGGACAGGAGACATTCATCGCAAAATTTCAGCCTTCTACCTTTCTTGGTTTCCGAGTTAGTAGTTTTTCCACCAAAATTTTCATACATCTTACGTGAGAACATGCATGTCTGGAGGCTGAATTTGAAATATTTAGCTAACACATGGGAATATCCCTAGAGGGTTTCAGCCCCTTACCTTATCTGGTTCTCGAAATCGCTTCCCGCCTAAAAAAATTTCCGTATTTTTTTATAGCGTCCATACGCGGCACTCAAGCGTCCACGGGGGATGATGTTAAAACAGGCGGGTCACGCATGGTATAGGCTCATACTCCCAAAATTCCAGCTTTCTGGCATTTGTGGTTCTTGCGTTTTTGCAATTTGCATGTATGCAAAAAAGCACAAAACACATAAAAAGAAAGCAGGGCAGCGGGGTGGGCCGCGCTGCCGGAAAAAAAAACGTGATGAGGGAGCCGCCTCACGGCTCCCTAGCGTAGAGTCGATTGGCTCAACGCCATGGGACTCCGCGCAGAGGCGGGAGATGGTGTCATTTATGGCCCACTTATTGGTCCAAATTCGATATCGTGCTATTTTTTTGGAGGGTGGTGGGAAAAGGAGGTTACGAGGTCATCCTAAGCACTTCGGACAAAAGAAATCTAGCCACTGGAGGAAAAATTGCGGTTTCAGAGCCGGGTCCTTAGGTGCAATAGTGAGGTTGGGTGAGGAGATTTACGATATCTTGACCCTGGGTCACACTGTGTACATTATATAAGTAACAAAGCTGCAGAATTTGTATGCTAAAGTTTTTACGTATTTTTAAGAATGAAGAATCAAGAGAGACGCAGAACGCGAGGCACTCATACGGTATGTTATTCATATTAAAGGTTAAAAGTTAAAAAGAAAATATCAGGAGAAGAAAACCATTCTCTATAGTGCACCTATGTTATATCTGTATGTTATAGATATAACATAGTTTAAAAAAAAATAACATAGGTGCACTATAGGGAATGGTCCGCTCCTCCAAATGATCGTCGACGAGTACACATACAGATGCTATACTTTATATTTCGATCTGTACAATATACCAACAACATAGCCCCACTATAGCTTCAGTGCGTGAGCTGTGTATTATACACAAGCAACATATTTGCATTGCATGACAGAAATCGCTATAAATGACGTATTCATGGTTCTGTGGGTATACAATGTGTATATTATATATGTTGTATTGCGTCATCTGTATGAAATGCCGACAACTTAACGACAACATCGCTTCCGTACATGTACTGTGTACAATATATGAACAATATAGCTGCACTAGTTGTATGCTGAAGTTTTTATGGAGAAAGCTGGAACTTTGCATGGATATTCTATGTGCTTGTGTGGGCTTAAGGATTTCAGATTCAACCACTGCGCGCGCTTGTGCAGCACTTGCGTCGCGTCAAAATTCACACTTAGCATGAAAACTAGCTGGAATGCAGTGACTGAAATTTTGTCAGAATATTTATCCTCCATGTGAGAAGTCGTATACATACATTCAGTTTTTACTTACATTGCGCCACAACTTAGGGTGTTTGTAGCTAAGTGGCTATTTTGCCTATCAGACAAGCTGTGAAGCTGAAACTTTGCAAGAATATTCCATATTCACATTTGGTCTTAATTCAGCTTAGGGGTGAAATTCCCTGCACACAAAAAAGAAAATTGGCCAACGCACGGGCTGCCCGTGCGAAGATGCGTTTTTTGCAGAGTTCCTTGCATTGTCGCTACCGGCATCGGTTTTTTCGGCAGATGCTTGTAGTGGAAAGAATTTGAGACTGGCCGCCGGAACTGTCAGGAAACATCCCCTCAAAATTCCAGTCTTCTAGC